CCGCCCCCACCAGACCCCCCCCTCGATAAGTTACAACTAACTACGAAAATTTCAGGCTTAACTTGCTGTTTTGGTGTCTGTTCAACGTTCGAGTCGTTGCCTTTTGCGTGTTTGACTATGTGAGGACCGGTCATACATTCTTCTAAGCCCCGTTGACTCATACATTCTTACGGCCCCTCATATCTATTCTATGCTTGAAAATACTAAGTGTTTTCTGCACACTACGGAGCAATCTGGCAGCAATGGACGTTTTTTACTGTAGGAATGGAAATGTGCGGGTCGGGGGCTGGGAGTGGCGGGGCTTATTGGCGCTTGGGTTCCTAAATGTGACTGAGTCTGTCGTACACCGACCGCGGTCGGTGTACGACATAGCAACACGGACTGAACACGTCATGTGGAGGATGCATTAGCATACAGCCATGACATGAATGCCACGGCTGTCATCCTGTTTTGCCTATTTTGCCTGTGCACGCGCAGCAGGCTCCTCACGTCGGAGCTGCAGCTGAGCTGGGCAGCACGGTGGATGGCGGCGTGGTGAGCGGCCCAGGCTTGGCGGGCGGCCAGGCACTTGCACAGGTGAGGCGGGAGGGGCGGGGCTTATTGGCGCTTAGGTTCCTAAATGTGACTGAGCCTGTCGTACACCGACCGCGGTCGGTGTACGACATAGCAACACGGAGCAGCAGCCCAACCAGCAATCATCTCCCAAGCAGCAGCAGCAGAAGAAGCAGCAACTGCAGTGGATGCACCTCCGAGTGAGCAGAATCATGAAACAAAGCAGCAGTCCATGTCTGGAACAGCTACACCACATAAGCGTAGTCGCCGCGGAGTGTGAATCTGCCCTCCTCCCTGTCCGACTACGTTGTAGGTTCGCAGTGAGGGGTTCAGTGTGTAGCTGCTCATGTGTATATGCGGAAGTTGCATGTGACTTCACTTAATTAATACTTCATTTGGATGTAGGACATGTACCAGATTGATGATGGGACGTACAAGGCTGCGTCGGGTTGCTTGCAGCATCGGAGAGGTTTAGGTTTTAATTATTTTATGCTTCTCGCTTGTCAAGGTGTCTGTGCACAGGACTGTGCAAAATGTTCTCAATCTAGGTGAAGGCATGTAGATCCTACAGGGAGGTGGCAGCGGCCTGGGTGGACTGGTTACTGACATAATGAAACCCACGAGGTGTTAAAACCCACGAGATGTACATGTACACATCCTGCGGGTGCTTCCCACCCGCGTGGCCATGCTGCTGTTTGTAAAAACGCATATGGACTGCAAGAGGTCGTCACCCTGACAAGGCACAATAGGCCGTACAGGTAGGTCCATGCCCACACACATGCCCATGCCCACACACATGCCAATGTACACACATACACACATAACTTTCGAGAGCCACTTTTGGGCATTCCTGTGTTCTTCGAATCTTTAGTGTGGTTGTACTTCGTCCTGTTAACTCCCTTGGGGTGACAAACCCTAGGGTTTATGCTGTCCACGCCAGCCCTCTTGTTCCTGGTTTCGTGTGTCTGTCCTCCCCACAAAAACAGTTCCGTTAAGCAGATTTTCAGGTATGAACACCGGCAATTCAACATAGTGCATTCGCCAGAGCCTTTAAACCGTCACAGGGTCCTGTTGGCCTGTTGAGGAAACACAGATTTGTCAGACCCTTGGTTCTCATGGTTTTGCACATGCTGCAAGGTTGGATATGGCATCCTGGAGCTTCTTTTGATTTTAGAGCCCACAACCATGTCTCTGTTGGGATAGCATGTGCGGCCGCCATTGACTGTGAACTGTCGTGGATTCCTTATAGTATCCTACTGCTAGCAGGTACTGGAGCATGGAACACCGGCTTGCATCCCTTCGAGGCCATGTCCCACCAGCAACAGAACCGTGCATTAAACATGCAGCACTGCATGCAGGCTGAACGAGGTCATGTAGTTCAGGAATAGGAGAGCCTCAAATGACTTGACAACGATTCACACCTTGAGGCAGTACGGTAGCTTGCAAATGCCATTTGCGGGTTATGACAGGATGGGGTTTCTGGGCGTCTGCTATTTACCCTGTAAATATTTGACAGGGTGGAAGGCACATTTGTGTGTCCTTGGCATGTATTCGTAATGCCACGATCGAGTTTGTTTCTTTTGGCAGTAGTTCTGCAGAGCACCGCTGCGCTCTCGCATGATGATTACTGAGTTAATCTTGCGTACTTGATGCGGTTTACCAGCCTTTGGGATCACCAGAACCGTGCAACCTCATTGAACCGATGTAACATTTCTCCATCTGACAATCGACATTCCACATTCCGCAGGTCGTCAAGTCAGCGTTCTTACCGGAAAGGTCTGACCCTCCCTGGGGTATCCTTAAGTACTCATTCTTTATGCCGGGCACATATCCGTAATGCTGCGCATTCCAAACAGAGCTTTTCGTTCCTGAAATGACTCCTTTTTCCTGTTGATATGGAAAGCGTAATAGCTGCACCCAGGGGACGCAGGACCTGCGTCCTTCCCCTTGTACTGGGCCATGACTAACCATTGAACGTCAAACCAGCCCAGATACAGACAGACTAGTAGTACTCAGCAGCTCCTAGCATGTTCACAGCCCAGGCATTGTCAGGATAACGTCATTTAGACGTCGCGGCAAGCCAGAATGTCATACATGGAATATCTTCGATACACGGTACATGACCTTTCCTCTAAAGTCCCTTTCATCCAGGAGTGTTCGGACGTAAACCGAACTAACATTGTCTTCCAGACGTGCATGTCCTTGCCTGCCCACATTCGCTCCATTAAAGGGGTGTTTCCACTGAAAAGTCTGTTTGTTAGCCGCGAAAAAGTTATTGGCGCGCTAACAAACCCTAACAAAATGGTGTTTCCACTAGTAGCCCCGAAACCATCTTTTTGCACGTCATTTAGCGCCAAAACACCCTAATTCGAGGACAATATTGTAGTCAGTATAGTACATTGTAGCGCTGCAGCTCGGAGGTGATGCTCTGCGAAGCGGCCTGGGCGGCAGCATGGACATCGGCGTCGAAGCGAAGAGACGGCGCGCCCTGCAGGGGCTGCTGCATCGTTGCCATAAAGGCGTTATGGAGAGCAGAGGGCATATTGCCAGAAGGAATCGGCGAGGGCGACTGGTTCTGCGACATTTTCGGTTCGGTCAACGACGCAGGCCGGCAAGCAGTCAGGGTTGTAGACTGAAAGTGTACAGAAGACCGGGTGCAAGTAGATTTCAAAAAGGAGCTCACAAAATTTTCGCGCTCAAAGTTATCGGACCTTATTGGCTGATACGGGGGTCCTATAACTTTTATGGACTTATTGGACCGCTAACAAGGCCCCTGTTTCCACATGGGCCCTACGTTCTTCGCCGTTCCTTCGCCTCCCAACATTCCCTTTTCATTTCTATCATACATTTATATAGAATAAGCGTTATTGCAAAAGAAAGTGAGCAAAGGCGAGGTGCCGGGTGAGAATTTTCAAAAACGTCGCTAACAAACTTTTCAGTGGAAACACCCTGTAATGTTGGAGTGAACGCCTCGGCTATGCTAAAGATCTTCCCGCAGGGATTGCATTTCTTCGCGTACCTATTGCTTTTCTTGCAGTATTGTCCATAAGTCGTAAAGTGCTTACCAGCCGGCCGGCCTGGGCCGCCTTTCCTGGCAGTGGGTTCACTGTCCATATGGACAATGCGTTGGCCGCTTCAGAATCCGTATGGTGTTTATCAAGACAGAAATGTACGCTGGACTGGCCAAAAGGGCACCTGACATGCGTCATTCGCGTAACATTACTCCGGCATAATTTAGTGTAACATTGCGGATTACGGTAGCAACGCATGTGAAGTGGTTAGGGATGTAGCAAGCTGTTTGCAGAGGAAAAAGATGACAAGTTGCCGTCGGAAGGATCATGTAAGGATCCTAACGAGTATTTCGTAAGGACGAGGACTTGCACTATACCGCTGACACTGCTTTCGTTTTGTTATCACTTCTCAAACGCAGAAGTGGGAGGTCATGTTAGTCAACACCAGCAGGAATCCATTGGCTGTGACCCCTTTGCAAAATTTGAAGTTCCGAAACCACATCTCACCTGACATCCTTCCATACATCGATCCTTTGTTACACAGACATATCGGCTTTGCAGGCATGACTCAAGTTTGAAATAGCGATCGTAGGTTGCATTACACTATACTGATGGCTGCTGCCGCCAAACTTCGTTTAGCAGCCGTTCCAGGAAAACAGAATGCACCTCCTACCATGTCATTGCAGCAAATCCCTAGCTTCAAGGATGCCTGTGACAACTTATCGAAGGCTGCATTCAGGCACACAAACAGCAGATACGGTGTAAAGAAGTGCATTTTCTTGTTTGCTTCTACCATCTCTATGTTGCCGGCGAATCAAGTATTGATATATGGAGGATGGCGTGGTGTCACACCGCGCAATGCCAGCCCTGCCAACATTTTCAACCTTACGGTAGAAGAGTCCAGAGCAGCAGCAGGAGTGAGTGCTGGTATGTGCATGCAGTCCTCATTGACATGTTGCGAGTGATTTTCGTTGGCATTCTTACATATTAGAATCAAGCAAAGAGGCTTCTCGAGCTTCTGGGCAGTACTGTTTCTGCTGCCAACCTATCCTCCTACCTTGGTAGAGGAGGGAGGGAATGGGTCGTGGAGATCGTCCAGGTAAGCGACATTATATTCGAATATAATGAATGAATTTCTTGTGCTTCCATGGACGAGCATCCTTAAACCAATTTTAACTTTGACAGGGTTGGGGCGGACTGACCCTTGGCAGTCTCAAGGAACGGGTACAGAGGGAATGTGAGCTCTGGGCGACTCCACCACAAGGGTCCATGGCTTCGTACAAAAATTGCAAATATTTCTGGCCGTGGCGTGCATGGGACAGCTTCCGGCAAGCGCTGGAAAAGGTACATACAGCAGGGGAAAAGTCGTGTGAGGGATGGTAAAATGCAAAGTTATAGCACACAAGCAAAAGTACCCTAACTATTAACCTTTCCTTACGTATTGCAGGCTGAGGAAAAAAAGCAGCCAGAGGGGAGTGCAAGTCAGGGCGGTTTCCTCGGCCAGACAACTCAATTGAGCCCCTTGCAAGGGCGAGATGTGCACGTTGCTTCCGCAGGACAGGTTTGTAGCAACTGCGGACATTTGAAAGAGGGGACCATTAGTTTGAACATGAGCCTCTTCACCGATGATGTATACTGGCAAGCCAGGGAAGCAATACATTAGCTTGTCTTTATACTCCGTTGTATAAAGGTATGCCTTTATGTAGGCCACTCGTGTATACAGTGTTCGGGCCAAAGCTGCACTAGCTGCTGCGTGCGAAACACCTTTGACCTCCCTTAAAATGCTGCAAGCTATGAGGTCTGTGCATATGAAACGTTTTGTATTCACCCTTCATGCCGAGGCACATGCATTGATGGAGTCCATGCAACGCCGTCAGGCACCCCTCGTCATTAAGACGTGCTAGTAAGAGCTGTGTTTCCTGTGACCTCTGGTGTCCTATTCGCGCCAGTTGCACCGCAAACGCCTACGAAATTCCACAAGTATTAAACTGTTAATAACCCTAAATATCACGCGTGTGTATGCTTTGAAAATACAAAAGATGAATAAGTTTTGCGACCGAAACTAGTTTCTGGCTTGCCGGGGTGGCAAGGTCTAAACCTCTTTTCCAAAAGCACTGAAATGAGTTCTGCAAGGTTATAATCGTTTCGGGGACTTTTGCTTGATAAGTGCATTCCGATACGGCGGTGACAGGAAGTGGCAACCCTAAGGGGTTGTTTCCACTTGGATTAAAAGTCGCGGATTAAGGCTCAATCCGTCGCATATGGAAACATCGCGCGGATTAGGACGGATTAGGCGGATTAAGGTTGGCGCGATTAGTTAGAGATTTCCGTCCGTATTCACGCGCTTCGCGGATTAATTATAGATTCACATGCTGTGAAATGCGAGCATTCTTCCTATACTAAAAGCTCAAACTTGGTGGGAAAAATTTGCTACCTGGTAGCCACCAGGTATCAAATTGACAATCTCGGATTAACACTTATCACGACGCCTCTTAAAAAGCCTGATTGATATGTTGGAAGGTTATCCTTTATAAAGGCTGTAGGTGTTCCTAGTTCTGTGGAAGCTTTGTGCTTCTTGTTCGGCATTATGCACCACACTGTGGGTGTCGTTCATAGGTGCTGCAAGGCCTTCATGTTGATAGTCGATAGTCTTTTAAATGTCAGGCAATACTCGTTTTTGCATTTTATGCACGGAATGGCAAATGTCGTACTTCAATCCGTTTCTGAATCCAGGCGTATGAAACACTCCGACGGATTAGCGGTGGATTGGCGCGGATTAAAAATACCTTAACCCGTCGCATTCAGCATTTTTTGGCTGTCTTTTTTGATAATTTAATCATAGGTTAATGTCGTGAGCCTTTCAAGCTTTTTAAGGCTATCCCGTAGCTCCGCCAAGGGACGAAATGGCATGTTTCGAGGTGTGGTCGTCGGGATGGGCTCGCACGCTTACGGTCCGACCGTAATTTTGACATTTTGGCAACCGTAATTACATTACACCGTAAGAACCGTTGTTTTACGATACTTTTTGGGGTTTCACCGTAATTGCTTACGGTGTAATGCGCAACACCGTAAATACCGTAACCGTAATTCCCAGCCCTAAAGGATATGGCTCCGACAACGAGGACCGTAAATCGTTACGGTTCACGGTCCACGGTCCACGTTTGCCACGGAACCCACCTAAATTTCGTTATTTACGGTGTTGCGCATTACACCGTAAGCAATTACAGTCCATTTTTTGGGATTATGGTGTAATTCCCACCCCTAATATTATTGCTATAGCGGCTCTTGACCAGACGGGTGTAAGATGTGCGTTGGTCGACGCGTTGGCCTTACGAAGAAGGACAAAAACGCGAAGAAAACACGTGGATTGATATGCATAAGTCATGGACGGCGACATTTTATGCTCTGAAGGGTAATTCCTGCCTTTGTGTACGGTTCTGAACCTCACATGTTTTCGTACCGGACAATTGTCTTCCGGTACGGCGGTCACAGGAGGTGGTATCTACGTCGACTTGTATGCAAACCAATTACACCTAGGGATCATAAGTCGGTTGCATCGCACGTTTCTTGGCCACAGCCAGCAGCAAACTCAAATGGAGTTGGGCCATTTGCCCAGGCTGACGCATGGACGACAAGTCAGACTAATGCAGCTGATCTCCATGAGCGTCCCTCACTTTCTAAAAATAAATACCGGATTACCTTTTCCATTCTGGGTTAAGCAGTATTGGTAAGGCGCGACCATTACTCGCGAGAGGTCCCGGGATCGAAGCACCGTAACACAAGTCGCAATTTCTAAAGCATAGACACAAGTAGGTGAATGATACAATAATAGAGTTAGTGCGGATGTCGCGCGATCGATTACAGAGATGACTTGGGTATCTAAAGGGTGACTCGAAATAAAAGCCTGTTATGCGATGCCTGTACAGGTCCTATTATAGGGAATCATGTATACTTGCGTCTATATAGGCAATGTCGTTTACAACATCAAGTGTATACAAACCGTATACATGACCTGTATATCGCATAGCCTAAACATCCCTTGCTACAGGTTATGATGTAAAAATATACTTATAATACTGTGCCATACATGATCGTATATTACGCCATCACTTACACATGCGCCCCTTTAGGCCTAAGCCTTTAAGTCTCGTAGAATACGTATAGAGCTAAATGGCCTATATACCTTTCACCTAATTTCCCGAATATGTCGCCTATACAATGCCCGAAAAAATACCGACGACGTGGCAATGCTAGGGAAGATATGCACAGCAGGGGGTTGTTTCATTAAATAATGGTGTGAACAGCGGAGGTGTAGCATGCAGACACACACACGCACACACACATACATACATACATACATACACACACAGACTTACACAATAGCCTTCACCCTGGACCCCTTTCTTATATATTGCAGGCTGAGGAAATGCAGCCACAGGGAAGTGCAATTCAGGGCGGCTTCCTTGACCAGACACCTCAAGCGCGAGGTTTGGGTGTTGCTTTTGCAGGACAGGTATGTAACAACTGCTGACATTGAATGGATGGTTACAGGCTCTTGTCCATAATGACCTGTCCTTGCATGTAGGTGTTGTATCATACACATTCGTCAAGATAACAGTGCATACATTTCATGTGTATGTACTCGACTTTAGACCCCAACAAATTGTGTCTAGCAGGTGGATTTTCACGCTGGCCAAGGTGGATCCGACCGTAGTGTGGCCATGGAGGTCAAAACTCCACACCCAATTGAGGAGGTAGTGTGCAAGAAGCAAGAGGTCCTATCATTTCGACAGCAGTGCAATGTCCATGAATGGTTTTGAATGCATGTGGCATTGATGAAGCACATGACTCCCATTGTGAGCTTACTACAAAAGCAACCCTTACATATTTGATGCTCTGCTATGCGAGTGCAGGTTAAGAGAGCATGTCCAGTGTCCAGAGGACGGCTAGTTGGCCAATGTGCTTCAGTTGGAGAAGCCATGGTGCTGCAGGTAGGAGTATGTATGTGTGAAACAGGGGGGTGTATCTTCGCCCGTGGCAGCTACCCTGCGAAACCCTGCCTTCCCCGGTATTTCGGGACACCCTCATCCAGTCACCCCCTAGCCGACTTCTCAGTGGATCGCTCAGGTTCCGCACCCACCACCAGCATCCAATGGAATCTGCCGGGTCGACAGCGGCTCCAACATTCCTGGTCGGCTCGCAGGTTAACTTTATCCCAGGTCACCACCGTCCATCAACTAGGGGTGCAATTGCTTCCACCTTCGGAAGGACTTTTGACCCTAACGGGTATCGATCCCGGGATCTCCCGGGGGCAATGGTCGCGCCTTATGGTTTTGTATGTATGAACTTGCATGTTTTGCCATTTGTGATATCACAGGCATGGCCAGGGTCGTGTACATGTATGGAAGGCCACGCATGCAATCACCCCATCTTATTACAAACATACAAGCAGGTGAAATATGATATGTTCATGCATGACAGGGTCCAGATGCGAGGGCTACACCCGCAGCAGGCATACCAATTGTTCCAGAAACCGATGACAACCTGTCTGTTATGGATGTGGATGACTTGGCTTTCACCTTCTCCCAGCTGCAGTCTGTGCACCTCTTGTGCACTACGGTTTCACAGCTTACGCGCGACCTCTCAAACGTGGGCATATCAGTCCACAAGGATGAAACATTTCGCAAATGTCTTACCCATGATGTTCTTGGAGCTGCAAGGAAGTACCTTCTGGACCATGGCCTTGGAGTTGGCGAGGTACATGAGGTCTCCATCGACACATACAGCCCACCAGCTGCAATGGGAGAAGTGTACATGGCGGTCAGGGCAGCAGTGTCGTGCTTTCTGAGTGAGCTGGACACCCCCAAGGAGTACTACAGCCCGAGTATTGTTGGCAGGGATCCCAGTGCAAGGGGGTCCGGTGGTCAGGCCGAGTGGCTGTGTGAGCTTCCATTGGGCAGTTCCGACTTCATTGCTGTTGTGCCCCTGATGGACATGTCCTTCATTGTCGCACCTTGTAGTGTAGCAGTAGTGGGGAGCTGGTTGGAGTACCGATCCCGGGGAATGCCTGAGCTTGATATAAGCAGTATGCTATACCCAGGGTTGATGGCCAAAAATGCAGTACGTCTTGTAGCTGGTAACATCCTCTTCCTGGCTGGGAACACATTCCACAAGGGTGCACTCCCCCACGATAGTGGGACGCAAGTGTACCTCAAGTTCTACATTGGTACGCCACAACGCCTCAAGAATTGTCCCAAGCCTCGGGACTTGAGTGAATCCTTCCAACTGAAGTTCTATGATTAGTGATACTTTGTGGTGGGCGGCAATTGTTGCCTGCTGCAGTGTGTGGTGACTATTGCTAAGACCCTGCTTTGCATGGCATGGAGCTATATTAAGCACTGGTGACTTTGTTCATTAATAACCACGGGCTAAGAAAGTGAGCTAGTACCCCAGAGGGTGTGTGTGAGCAAGATATGTGTACTGGGTCAGACAATATAGCTAGCAGTGTGCACAACCCTGCAATGTCGGTGTTTCAGTCAAGTGAGGGTCCCTGCTTTTTTTGCCTGGGTTGTGTGTGGTCTGGATAAATAGTGATCGCCGACCTTCATAGATGTGTACGTTGATGATAAGGTGCAAAGTGACAATGCTCTCTTTTTGTGTGAGATCTAAGCGCATCCGCGTCTCGGCCATTGTAGTGTGGCAACTCTCTCCCATTGTAGTGTGACGTACATGAACTTCCCGTACCTCGGTTTTATGATTGTTTAAGTAAACCCCGTGTCTTATGACAATCCCCGATGGCGTTTCTTGTTTAATCATAATTTGGGAGTTACAGAAATCAGACCCCGCGACTATGCTAGGCAGAGGCCAAGTAAGTAGAGATAACCTGTTCCGGAAGTAGTGTTACCAGTCATTCTTGGTGGCGCCTCTCGCGCGGCTCTTATTTCATTCGATTCGGAATATTTTCGCAACAGTGTTGTGTTAACACGGGCTGTAAATTCATCACAGCTGGCGTGGAACGGCTCAAGCCACCAACCCGCCGCTGCGCTAATTTTCACGGCAGCCCAATGGCATACTCCAGGCCGGTTCCGGCCCGGTTCCGACCTAACGGGTCCAGTTAACGAGATGGGTAACCGGTCGGTAGGATTACCGGGCGAACCGTTATCCGTTAACCGTCCCCAGTAATCGGTAACCGATGTCGGTAACCTGGCATGATGAAAATGCATTTCTGATTGCAACCAGTTTCTTTGTGACAATGCCCATTGTCACAAGGTTCATGCCCACGTGTCACACCCCGACAAGCTTAGGAGGTTAAGGCAATGTGAATGCCGGGTGACAGGGGTGACAGTCTTGTGCAGGCACATTTGGAGACTAGTTTACACTGAGATTGGGGTGATGTTGGATTAGAATACTTGCAGTTCATGAAATTGACGAAATGTGTTGCATAGGCATATCCAAACGTTTCAGAGGGACGTTGTTTCGCCCGTAACAAACTTGTTACGGGCGAAACAAACTGGATTTCCACAGTCCCACCACTCAAAGAGCTCCCCACACCATCGCAAAGTCCTTTTTTTATTACAGACACATATAACGAGTTGTCATAGCTTGAGATTGTCGATATATGACTGCTGGATTGTGACCAGGCCATCTCCTTACATGTCTTGCTGCACCAGCATGAGCAGTGATCCCTTCTGTTCAAAATTTTCAGGCAACATCGCACCCTGCAGGGTCACACTCGGTACTCGGTACTCGTCCTTTATGAATATGTGCCGCAAACGGTGCAACAGACCATCAGCCAATTGCGATTCCTTTGCCTTATATTCATCACAACAACCCAGGCGCTCACATCCATAAATTCGTGTCAAATACGACTGCATGTTGCCCAGCCTGGCTCTTCACCCTAGAATTTATAATACAGCCTCATGCGTCAGCAAAACTTTTGATCGCCTATGGGCCACCCGAGGGCCCACGAGGCCTATTAAAACATTTACCTGACCTGGAGAGATGTACGCGCGCGCGCGGAGGAGCACATGCTGTTACATCACGACTTTTTCAGAAACGAACCGAACGGTGGATGCAGATCCCGTGACATGCCCTCCAGGATACTACATGCTGCACATATCACTTTGTCACGAACCCCACGTTCTTTCCCCGCCGGGCAGGGATCCAGCGGCTCGCGGATAAATGAGCAGTAGTTACAGTCCATGCATGTTCCTTTGTCGCGGCCAGTAAATGCACGCCGGGTTTGGAGTCGGTCCGTCAGGAAAAACCTGCGGGCGACAAAATCTGCATGCTTGATGTCTTCCAAGCACACATGCTGCTGCTGTGGGGGCCCCCTTCACACAGGTGGGGAAAGATGGCAGCGGCGACGAGCACATGCCCCATGCTGTGAGCGGCACTTAGCGGTAGCGGATCTACGTGGGGTGGAATATGGGCAGGAACGAGAGGGAGGGAGGGAGGGAGGGAGGGAGGGAGGGAGGGAGGGAGGGAGGGAGGGAGGGAGGGAGGGAGGGAGGGAGGGAGGGAGGGAGGGAGGGAGGGAGAAAGGAGGGAAAGGGAGAGGAGGGTAAAGCAAGTGGAGAAGGGAAGGAGGAGAACTCCTGGACTGGACATTGCCAATTATTGACGTACGGCTCAGACGTGTTATGGATGTGCGCGGTATATTGAACGCGGTCGAAGAGGAAGGCAGCAACAACCCCCGCATGAGGCCATGACCCGAAGTTCCTTGGGATGTAGGATAGAAGGCTAATCATCTTTCTTTAATCAATCAATAGCAGTATTAACCAACTGCATTGGCCTCTGGAGGAGCTTTCTGCACGTGTAATTTACCACGGTGTGGAGGAGCTCGAGCTCCAATACGGCGGTTCGGGCCATTCCTTTCTGCTCATGTGTGCACCACCAAACCCCCTGTAGCAGTCCTGATGTGGATAGGGCAAGAGTACGAATCTGCATGTGCGCCTACTACTACAATTGACTAAATTGCGTACCGCGTTCAGGTCTTTGACGGTCCGGTCAGGTCTTTGACGGAAGGTAATCCCCCTAGTCACTATCTTGGCGCGGCGGTGTCGTCATGTGCTCTTCATGTGGTTACAACCATTGCCTCCGCACACAAAACTTTCAGGCTCCCTTTAAGGAATTTCCTGCTTAAGGGACTTCCCGCGCTTTTTCCAAGGTTGAGGCTTTTAATTGGCTTTGACGTCCCCTATGGTATGGGCGCACGTGGTGTGAATGGCGAATTTGCACTCTGCATCTTGAAGGGAGAGAAGACGTTACGTTTGCTATTTTGTTTTACTGGCGCTTGGCCCGCCGCATGGCGCGTATGCATGGGCCCGGTAATTACACCTTTGAAGGGTGACGCAATTTAAGGTGTAACACAGACACACACTAGCACACTCTAGCACACACACACACACACTCTAGCACACACACACTAGCACACACTAGCACACTCGCACACACACTAGCACACACTCGCACACACACTCTGCTACTTTGGCCCCTGGGATACTTTTGTAATTCCTACCGCAACACAGTGCTCCTTGCGAAAGGAAATACGTGCCACAGCAATAACCAGCACCTTCCCATCTACCCTGACCGCAGCAGGAAAATAACACTTCATCCTGAGCCTTAGCTTTTGCCACATTACTTCGGGTCCTCACTTTTGCGCCACAATCTCATGACAAGTGAGAACGTGCACGGGCCCCTCCCCCCGGGCTTTTACGGACGCCCCCAGCATTCATGCGGGACTAGTAACTTGCTACCGGTACAAGGAACGGAAAATACAAGGTTGCGCTTTGAGTCAATTGGAACGTGTCAGGCCGCCGAAAGTGCAAACGCATATCACAATCGGCTCACAAACAGATTTAATCAACCTGACACCAAATTATGAGATCAGAGATCACCAAAAATGTTGTTCGTACGAAATCACATCACGCAGTGAGAGCGAGTAAATCACAAGCACGCGATTTTGCAGCACAAAAGCGCGCGAGAGAGAGAATTGCACGATCGCATGCCCGAGATCGCTCGCCGCACAGAGGAGACATCGCACGCCCAATCGAAAGCCACGAATTAATGCAAAATACCTATAGGCTGCCATTCAGTGCAATGCGCAGTCCCCATGCGAGCAATCCCACAGAGGGGATGGGAGCTTCGGCAGTCAGGGCGAGAGGCGCGGGAGCCCTCGCGAATACGCGATTGTTTGCTGCCAGGATCCTTTCCTTCCTTCATCACCTCGTCGCCGTCTGCAGCGCCAGCTGTTTCCTCCTCCGGCGACTTGATATAGATTTTCCGTTGTTCTCTCTCTCTCTCTCTCTCTCTCTCTCTCTCTCTCTCTCTCTCCCTCTCTTTCTCTCCACCATCTAAACCATTTCGTACCAGGGCCACTGCCCCACACCGCGCAAAAGCACTTACGCAAAAAACACAGACAGGTACATAAAACCCAAACGCACGCACGCCCGCAAGCACGCGCCCGCCTGGCTGTCAGCTTGCTGTACCTCCACTCCCGGTTTGCATGATGAGAAACGCTCCCGGAGGGCCCTTCCGTTGCTGCTTTCACCACGCCACCATCACCGTGATCATCCGGCCTGACTCGCCGCCGTTACCCTGGGCCTGGGCCCAGTGGGCCCGGCGCGGAGTCATCATTGCAGTGCTAATCGCGTCATTGCTGCTGCTGCTGGTGCTGGTGGTGCTGCCCCTGCTGCGGCCGCGGCTCCTACAGGACTGCTGCTGCTGCTGCTGCTGCTGCTGCTCCCGCATCATCCTTGTTATTGTCATTGTTGTTGCTTCAGGGCCAACTGCTGCTGCTGCAGCTGCTGCGACTGACGATCCTGGGGTTGTGTACGTGCTTTCAGCCACGCCGGCATGCCGTCATGTGTGCTCAGCAGCGCCCGCGACATCACTCGGTCGGACAAACACAAGGTATGACCCTCGGGCCATGTCTGCACATGATATCGCATATCGCCATATCACCCATCAGATCGCAAATACGCAATGAGAGCGGCAGGGCACGGCAGAGACAGCGACAGGGCAGGGCAGGGGGAATAAAGTAAGGGATGTCCCAGTGAGAAGTCAATACATTTGTGGCTTGATGCAAACGAATCGACCACTTCAGGAGGAGGAGGCGGGGGGAGGGAGGGCGGGGGGAGGCAGGGCGCAGAGCGGTGCGGCAGCAGGGGGGCCCAGACAGGATGATACAGCAAGTACAAAATACCACCACCACAACAACAACAACAGCAGCAAGGATAAACAACAATAGCAGCAGCAAGGATAAACAACAATAGCAGCAGCAAGGATAAACAACAATAGCAGCAGCAAGGATAAACAACAATAGCAGCAGCAAGGATAAACAACAATAGCAGCAGCAAGGATATACAACAATAGCAGCAGCAAGGATAAACAACAATAGCAGCAGCAAGGATAAACAACAATAGCAGCAGCAAGGATAAACAACAATAGCAGCAGCAGCAGCGATGTGAAGGGACGAGCTCACAAGGCATCTGAATTGTTTTCATCATCACCGACGACACGGGTGTGGTGTGATGTGCAACCGCACCCAGAGCCTGTGTGTAAACGAGATATGTGAAAACGCGAACAAGTTGAAACGGTTTCCCCTAACTCTGAAAAGCCGGCGGCGGCGCTGAATGCAAAAGCGCACAACACCTGCAGAGTGGAGATGGAGACGTGACCGGACTGCAACGCCATGACGTCACTGCGATCGATTTGCATGGTACGGCGCGTGTCGTACGCGTTATTATACACAACGGGAAGCCCGGCAGCCAGTGCCTGAACATACAGCCGGCAAAAGCGAGGAAAGCGAGTGGTTAAGACATTTAGCAGGGATTCGTTTTGAAATATGGAATACATGGTTCGATTCCGGCAGATTTTAAATGCAATCAAATAAAAATGACACATTGTACGACACACACCAGAAGATACAGCGCGGTTAGGGGCTCAACTGTCAGAGGAGTTAGAGGCGGCAACAGGGAAGCGCCGTACCTCCGCAATATCCTGTACGACATCCGTCTTGAAGGCGTCACCGTTGCCGTTCCCGTTGACAGTAGCGCATTGCGGCTCGTCGCTACTTGTGCCGATAGCACCGTTGCCGTTACCGTTACCGTTGGCCTTTACAATGGATGCATCAGCGGAGGTCACCAGCATGTTAGGTCGCCCGGGCACCGAAACCACGTACGAATCGCGGTAAAACATAAGCCCCAATCCTGGTAAAGGCGCAGAACCGGGCGCGATGGGTCGACAACCACAGAGAGCTCTTGCGGCAAAACAATAACGGGAAACGAGAACCAATAGTCAAGACAGGAAAGTCAACAACAGCGACACCATCCGCAGTAGCAGTAGCAGTAGCAGTAGCACCACCACCACCACCACGCGCTCCCTACCCGTGGTCGCCACTCTGCCGCTTCCTGGTCGCCACTCCGCGGGCACATTGAGGTTTAGGAACACATCCCCGTCTTGAAATGCGTCCACAAGAACCTGCGTGTGCGTGTGGGGGGTGGGGGGGGTGGGGGGGGGTGGGGGGGTGGGGGGGTGGGGGTGTGTGTTGCAAAAGGACGAGCGGCTCCCCCGGCCCCCCGGAGCTTACAGCGGGGTTCAGCCACCGGGCCCCCCGAGCCCCCCACAGCATTATATCCTTACCTGCTGCCCACCTGCCAATTACCGGCTGCCCACCTGCTCAACATCCATCACCCAATTGTGCGGAAGGGATTCGTACTCGCATGTGGAGGCCACGTGCCGGCGCCCAATGCCTCCCACGACGACGTGGTTTCGGGGCCAGTTACGAGCAGGCCGGCAACCCAGGGCCTCCAGGGCCATCCCGGCCAGAGCCTAACGCGGCAAAGGAGGTCATCATTAGGGGTTTTTTAACCCCGGGGGGTGGGAGGGGGAGATCACGCGGGAGGGCAGGTGGCTCTGGGAGGAAGAGGGGCTCCCGGGTGAAACTTCATCGGGTAATGGCATCAATGCGGCTTCTTGAGGAGGGAAGGGGGGTCTGCAAGCGCTCCCGCGGTTTCATGTAAAGAAAACTCAAAACCCTAAACCCCCCCCCTGGTGTAGCAGATGTAAGAGAACGAAACAGAGAAACGCGAGATGATCACGTTGGTTATGTGTATGGGATAAGTTTTGGTGTGGGCAACACAAACGCCCCAAACGGCCCCAACCAACTTCCCCTTCCCCAGGCCGTCGAAGGGTATCCGTCGAAGGGGAAGCAGGATTGAGGGGGGGGGGAGAGAAGGGAAAGGGAGTGGGGAGAGAAGGGAAAGGCAGGGGGGAGAGAAGGGAAAGGGGGTGGGGAGAGAAGGGAAAGGGAGTGGGGAGAGAAGGGAAAGGGAGTGGGGAGAGAAGGGAAAGGGGGGGGAGAGAAGGGAAAGGGAGGGGGGAGAGAAGGGAAAGGGAGGGCCGGACGGGGAGGGAAAGGGAGGGGGCCGGACGGGAAAGAAGTGAGGAAGGAAGCAAAACATCCAGACCTCCTTCCTTCCTACTTTCCTTTCTCCCCAGACAGCTCAGGAAGGAAATCCCGCCGTACTAACTCTACCACGCCACAACTTCAGTTTGATTCGCCCGCACACGCCCGACTGTGCGTCTTCTTAAAAGAGATATTCTCGCGGCCGCGGTCCTTGACACCCCCCCAAAACCCCTTCCCCCCCCCTCACCAACGTCGCTTCCACTGCATTGTCCAGCGCCGAGCTTTTATCCGTACTGGTACTGCTAGAGGCCAGGGAAGGGACGCCGTACAGCCCTGCCGTACGCGCTGCGCCCACCGTGCCGCTGCGGATGTGTAGACGTGTAAGCGTGTGTGGTCGCAGCATCCCATCCCATCGCGCGGCCCAATTCCATTTCCCCGTCCAAAACCGTGCCGCCACACCCGATGGGGTTTCCCCGGGGTTGCGAACCCGTCCAGCCCAGTCCGAGAGCCACGACAGCATGGTACGACAGCGTACGGCATATGGGATGGCACGGCATGTTGTAGAACGTGAAGCGAGGGAGACCGGGAAGGCGGCAGGGAGGTCGAGGGGGTAAGGTGAGGAAAGCACACACTAAAACAAACAGGGATACATGCAGGACACCAATGTATATTCCTCGGGGGCGGAAAACCCTTTTTCCAAAGGGCCAAGGAAAACAACTTAATATAAGTAAACGCAGTATGTGGCCCGAAAAACAACTTTTAAAGCATTACAACAAACCATCAAAGGAGTGCGGAGGCGCATATTACACAGAAAAGAAAAAAATCCAGAAAAACAAATTATTTTCAACAGGACCACTGGCTCACCCGGAGAGGTGCATTTAAAAAACCATTAAAGTATAGACACTTCAAAAAACAAGCTCTCAAGCTCGATCCATACCTCTCATAAAGCATAAAACAAATACGCACGACGCACACGCAGGAACAACCGCCCCAGGACACCCTCTCTCCGGCGTCATTTGCACCCACCATCACGAGCATCAGCCCTAAAACCCTAACGAGCCCAACCAACGAAACCCCCACCTCAGCAGCACATCCGTCCCCATGTTGGGACCGTAGTTGGGCCCGGACAGCGCCAGGATGGGGTGAAGATCCAGCGCCCGCATAAGGCCTTTTGTCGCGTCCAAGGCCACCATCATGCAATCCGTGGGGGTGCCTGATGAGGCAATGGGGTGAAGGCGCGGGTAAAAGTGGGTAAAAGAGTTTCTTAAAACCTTGAGCCTCCAAAACCAAAGGCCTCCGAGTCACGAGCAGGTTTGTCAACAGTTGGCTAGGTTAAAACCTTGGTTCAAGAGCGCTACTGAAGCATATGCGCCTCCTTGACTACTGCGCGCGGGCTCACCCGCTAAGGCGTATGTGTCTGGTCCCAGATCTGGTCGTACACGCAGTTCCATGTCGTACCGGAGGGTAAGGCCCATGCTGCGGACCGTGGCAAAAGGGTTGGGGTAGGAATGTTTATGGGGGTGCGGCGCAAAAACGTAACGGTCCACGTGGGTACCGGGTGGTAAGGGGGTATCAGGAGTAGTATAAGTTGCTACCCGCTGCTGCCGTGGGCTTACCTCGCTGCGCTTTTGTTACGAGCTGGGGCAACCACGAGAACTCTGTGCCCTGTCTCCTTACGAAGTCTGGCAGCCAAGGACTGGAGTGCATAGCTCTCGACGCCATCATCTGCGACAGGGAGAACTGCGGTTGCAGCGCTTCGAGGTAGGCCGCCCGGTGCTGAATAATTCAGTTCCCACCGTTGGACAGCACCAGGCAAGGCTGTGCTGCGCGGACTGAGATAGTGGACGAGCGTGACCGTGTAAGCGCGAAATGCGCGCCTGGCCTGTCTCTATGCTGGAGCAAGAGCATAGGAGCCCCAGACTTGCTTAACAACAATCGCCGCATTGTGGTTATCTGTAGTTATAACATGCAACTAGGAAGGGTCACGTGCAAGCCATAACGCCTTTGACGCCAGAAGGCTTCTACTTCTTTTATGGTGATGTCAATTCTCACGTTATATAAGTAACTGCAAAGAAAGGTAACTGAAACGTTCGGGCATTCACCATCGTGCAGACTTCGGAGCCGCTACATTCTGCAACTATTATTTATTTGCCAATTAGTCTGTGATGAAATTCTTGCCTAGTTTTCGATTGCATAACAATCCTGGTTATTTTATTGGCCATCAGCAACGTTCGAGGTGCCAAGGTAGTTATTCAGCCTGGCGCTTTGCTGCGGAAGATCGGCCGATTCCCGGTCCATCCGCCTCTTGGATAGGAAAAGCCCAGCCTACGTCCAGTCCAGTTGATGGCGCGCTTCCAATTTTGCAACAAGGGTTGTCCCTCATGTGCTTGCATATGCTCCATCGTTCCCTTTGGTCATTAGTCTCCTTTATCACTTGCTTTGTCTGAAATGCGAGGTAGGATGGTGCTTATAGGCGATCTGGCAGCCCTTGAGCCCTCGGCTCATGTTGGGCGGTTTGCAGGACAACAGGTACGCACCCCACGACCATGTAACGTCATTTCATCACTTTTGCCGACTGGACCAATGACCTGAACAGTCAAAGCCGCCTCTTGGCTTCAGCTCGCGCTCTTGACATCCACCACGTCACGGAATACACACGGCCTTCATCGCCGATGCGGATGGTAGCTTACCAACGCCGCGGGATGCCCTGACCCCCCGTGTGTGCTGACTCCACCCTACCCTCTCCGGCGTCTCTGGCGGCTGCGGTGGGAGAACAGCCCCCACAGGAGGCCTTCTGGGGACTTGCCGTCCATGGTATTGCAGGGCTTTCCATGGTAGCGTGCCATGTAGGGTGATCGGGAGGCCTCCCATCATCCACGCCCCTTGCCCCACGATCCCTGCGCGTTACGGGGCAGGGATCGTGCTGGGTGCGGCGCCACCTGTCCTGGGACTGTTTTGTCGAGCGGTCGCTTAGAGAACCGTTTGGGGCCGAGGTTGTGGGACCGACGACTGGCGCTGCAGACATGCCGTTCCAGCGCCACCACCTTTGGCTGGCTTATCATGTACCCATTCCCCGGCGGTCTGCACTGGGTCTTCCGGGGACCCCCAACTCTCCCCCTCGTCCCCGCGTACGGGACGGTGTACGGCGTGGTTGTTGCCGTACTTGGCTGTGTCGTCTCTTCCTGCGTGGCGTGCGCTCCTGGGAAAGTGTTGCAGATCCGTGGTGTTAATATGTGGCTGGCGGACGTGATGTGGAGCTTGATGGTAGCTTTGGTTCGTAGGTCATGGTAGTGTGTTCCAACCCTGGTGTGTTCCAACCCTGGGCTCCCTGGGTGCGGCCCCTGCCTTAAGTCGCCGGCGGCAATCTGCTGTAGGCTTGGAATAGGCCGCCCTGGGGTACCTGCGCCTGCCTGGCCCCCGTTGGGACTCTTGTGTGCGTTCCGGCTATAGCGTTGTGGCTTGGTACCCTGCCCCCCTCTTCTCGTCCTTGCACCCTGTCCGACTATCCGAGTGTATGCTGTGCCCCCTTTCTTTTGTTTGTGGGGCATGGGAATTTGTGGGCTTTGGGCCCTTTGCGAATGCACGGAATCCCTGCTATTTGCTGGGAGTACGTGACCTAGGGTATAGGTTGGTTATTATAGTTAACCGCTAGTATGTACGGCTAGTGATGTGGGTTGGTTCCCTGTCCCTCTCGTATTGACTGCATCCTATGACCTTGCCTATCTCCCTATCGATCTATCTATTTATCTATCTATCCGCCTGGCGGCTTTACCAAGTTCAACAACCATTGCCTGCTTCGCTACAGAGGTAAAAAACCATGTACGACAAATCCAGGACACAGACATGGATTCAAAATTCATCCAGCATTTGACAGCAGAACGTATTTGACCAAAACGTAATGTCCGGAACTCTCTAGCCACAACAAGCTGAACGCGGCAAGAGGCCCGAAACTTCACTCTACGTCAACGCAAGATATCTAGCTGCCCCCTTCTATCTTTCTAACGGCTTGCTGCGCAACAATCCTTTGTTATGTATGTTGTTACAGGGTGGTTAACTTCGCCAGCGGCCCCCTTTCCCGGGGCAGTCCCTGCTCTCCCCTGCTAGAGGGGCACCCTAATCCGTCACCCCATCCGACTTCAGAGTGTTATATGTATGTACGTGTGGCAAACACGAGCGCGCCCAGCCCAGAGCTCTCCAAGCTTATAATAAGGTCCAAGACAACACCTTGGGGCTCTTTGCTTTGCCTCGCGCCTAGGAGAAACTCTAGGAGGGTCTAGGCAACAAACGCTTCCGAGTAAAGCAGAGAACGAGACTGTTGAGAAACCTACTACGCATCACTGACCACGGAATCGCGGCCGTGGGGTCTCTGCTATAGCTAAGGCATCGGTGCTATGAATGCACTGGCAACAAATATTCGGCAGAGCAGATGCACCTGCAGATAATGCATGCAAACAAAATCAGAAAAAAAATTATTTGCCCCAAAATCCATTCTGCCTCCGGCCTTGCACCAGCCATCCACCATTCGCCACTGCGGCCGCAGCACTACTACTACTACTACTACTACTACTCCAGCGCCGCCGCTGCATCCCCCAGAACCTGGTGGTCCTGGACCGCCGCCGCTGCTGCTTTTGCTACCCTCCATATCCGTACTAGCACCCCCCCCACCACCCGCGCCCGTACTAGCGCCCTCCGTGTGACACACGTTCGAGCTCTTGCGCCATGATGCGCTCGCGCGCGACTCGACGGAGCGCAGGCAAGGCGTCCGGCAGCCTGTGGTACAGCTGCTTTAGTGCGATGCTGCCCTCCTGCAAGCGCGGTCTCAAGGTGGATGGCCCAGATGCATGATGGATGCATGTGCGAGAGGGCAGAGCCGCAGGGGTGTGAGAAGGGGCTTAGGGAGGAGTGCGACAGGAGAGCTTTGGAAGGGAGTTGATTGAAAACGGAAGGAGACCACAGACCACGAAACGCAAAAGGCCCACCCATCTTTTCTCCCCTGCATTCCCAAGCGTTTTTCCTCGCCCTCCTCGTCCCTTTAATAAAATAAAAAATAAAAATAAAATAAAAATAAAACAAAAAAGGGAGGGAGGAGGTTTTTCCCCACCCTCTGTTTTTTTAAGCAAAACCCGTATGCAAAACTCTTAAGTTAAAAATGCTGACCAAACCCAACCGAACCCTCCCATGCTCCCCAACCGCCCTCGCTGCCCCCCCCCTCCACCTTGAGTTTGCGGTCCACACTGCCATCCGGCTCCCACGAGTACAACCCGAACTTCATCGTGTAGCCCGTGGCCCATTCCAACGCGTCCACCAGCGTCCTGAGTGTTTAGTAAGGCCCCACCAGGCGCGACGGATAAGCCGACAACGATGATGATGGCGATGATGATGGAGTGATGATGGAAATGATGATGGAAATGATGATGGAGATGATGAGATGGCGATTAACAGGGCGTTTAGGGCAAGGAGAAGGAAAGATGCCACAAAGGTCAAGGGCCGCCGAGAAGAAGCGTTTTCTCGCCCATGATCTCATGAGCTAATGATATGGCGCCCTGTCGCACACACAAACCGGACGACAGCAGAAAGGACGACCCAAACACCGCATGACGCATGCAACACTACATTACTACATTAACTCCCAACTCAACCGTCAACGATCAACTTGCTTTTGAATTGAAACAGCTTTTATGCTTCCTTTCTTCTCTCAACTCAAACCGCAACGAACAACGAACAACAAACATGACAGTTATTGCCCACCAGTAGTACACTCCCCGCACGTCGCAGCCGTCCGCAATGGCGTGGAGCACCTGGTTAGGTGCGGAGGGGAGGGGAGTTGCGGGGGAGGGGAGGAGCTACTGGATCAAGGTACGACATGGACACAAGCACACAAGCACACAAAAGAACGTAAATGTAGAAGACATTTACACACGTAACATAGTTTTTCCTCTACTTTTCGCTGTCTTCGCTGTCTTCTTCCCGTTGGTACATCGCACTGGGTGGGTGGGTGGCTGGCTGTGTGGTGGATGGACATCTGCAGGTCGGGACATTGCTCCTCCAGACATTATTATTCCTTGGCCCCCTGCCCCCGAGCGAAAGAACATGCAAGGGGGATGCTGACGATACGAGTCGTATCATACGACGGTACGACGATACACCAGCTGAACCCTCCCTTCCATACACACAGATACCGCGCTCAAGGTGTAACATACATACATACATACATACATACATACATACATGCATCGTGGAAAACAGAGGCCGGGGGAGCGAGAGGACTGGGGAGACGGTTGGAAAGGCGGGAAGGCGAGGCCAGGCGGGCCGGTGGAGAGGGGGAGAGAGCACCAAGAGGACGTAGGGTCGAGGTGTGTAGTAAGGGGGGGGGCAGCAGGTGGCTGTCGGAGGGTCGCGGATGAGGGGGAGGTTGATGCCCAGGAGGGGCCGTACGGCCGTACGGCACACGGCGCCTCCCAACACATGAGAGCGAGCTTAGACAGCATAACCACCACCGTGTGCGCATATTGTCGTAATACAACGCCGTACACACCTGCTGCAGGTAGGCCTCAATCATAGCGGCACGCCGATCATCCCTGGCATCCGCAATTCCGGTTTCCGTGATGTACATTGGGATACCGAATTCGGAGCATCTGCGGACAGTGTGGGACAGGGGTAGGGGTAGGGGTAGGGGGAGGTGAGGCGCCACACGGGGCACAGGTGATTGGAGACTAAGTCGTCACTAAAGGGGTGGATTTTATTAGAGCTCCCGGTTTATGGCAAACAACAACCTAAACCCTCTACACAGCAACACTACACAACAACATCACAAAAGGAAATAGCCTTATTATGCTCGCAGCTCATGCCCTTCGCTAGCAGGAAATAACCCCAGCGACCACATGGTTTTTTTTATCATCACACGCGGAGTGCCGTACTACACCGCCGTACAAGTGCCGTACATCCGTACCTCTTAATCGCGCGGTACATTCCCTCGGGGTAGATGGGGTAGTACATGTCCGTCATGACTTCTTGTTGTCGATGTGTGGGCGTGAGACACCAGCTAACTACGCCGCGTGAATAGTAGTTGATGCCCCACCAGTCGCACGGTGGCTTGCCGGCTGGGTCGCGCCACCTTTTCCAAACACCCAGCACCGGCACTTTCCACACGAACTCGCCCGTCAGCATCCAATGCTCCATGACATTGCAACCCACCCAGTACGTCATCCATTCCGCAACCACCCTGCTTGCGGAACGGATACCGTACATGCCGTACATGCAGGCAAAGAAGCGGTTCGCAATAAAAGGAACTCAAGAAGGATTCATCCAAAAAACCAAAATCCCGGTGGGTTACCTGGGGAACGTCACATCCCGGTTTGTCGATTATCGATTTATACCGGCGGTGCGATAACGGTGCGATAACGGTGCGATAACGGTGCGGTGATGCTGTGCGCGTTCCCAAAAGAGACGAAAGAGGCGGAACGGAACCCTAAACCCCTTTAGTATGATGTGTGAAACAGGGGGGTGTATCTTCGCCCGTGGCAGCGAAACCCTGCCTTCCCTGGTATTTCGGGGCATCCCCATCCAGTCACCCTAGTCAACTTCTCAGTGGATCGCTCGGGTTCCGCACCCACCACCAGCATCCAACGGAATCTGCCGGATCAACGGAGGCGGCTCATCTCCATTCCTGGTCAGCTCGAAAGTCATCCCAGGTCACCACCATCCACCGATAAGGGGCACTTTCACCATCGGAAAGATATCCGACCCTAACAGGTTTCGATCCCGGAACCTCAGGGGGCATCAGTTCGTGCTCTACCAGTAGTGCCTGACCAGTATGACCTATACGTATGTGCCCCATAGCCACCCCAGTCTCGCAGGCCTCGGAGAGAAAGCTTTTAACCTCTATCTCCCCTCCACCCCTGGAGCTTACTTGGCGACACCGTGTAAGATGCCGTCCGCTTCCGCCTCGAAGGTAATGTGGTGGTTCACGAGGCCAACTTGGGCCTTATCCCCGCCCGGCATCGCCTTGATGGCCCGGTACGCCTCCACGTGCGCCTTCAGCATGGTGCTCAGCATGCGACCCGCACCAGCCACGTTCATGAAATGGCCCGGAGGGGAGATTCCGATGATCCAGCCGAGTAGGAGGTAGCACTGGTGCAGACGGGGGTGCAGCACCCGGTTCGGGGGGCGTGGGAACGAGCGGGGACAGGACGGGGTAAGACGAACCACAGAAGAGTGAAGCAGCAGATACCACAGCGAGGTAAATCAATTGAGGAAGGGGAAAACACGAACCACGAGCGAGTGAAGCTGCTGCCAGGAGGGGAGCGTGGGGGAGAGCGTGGCGGGCCGGGTCGGGACGGACACGGTGTCGACCTGGTGTAGTGGGAGAGACGCGGAGAGCCTGGCGGTTCCTGGCAAGCGCTCTCCGCCCCGCCGGTGCAGCGCAGCTGGGGACGCTGCGCCTCACTCTCCCACGTGTGCGTGTGCGTGTGGTGTGTGGAGGGGGGTGATATCTGTACGCTGATGTATTCAGTTGCTTGCTAGAAGGGAACGACGTGTGGAAAGGCGACAAGAAGGGATGTTACGAAGGCTCATGGTCCCTGCTTTGGCCCACCCGCCCCAGGACCTGTCCTGACCTCCCCGCGCACTCCCCGACACCAACATCTCCTCGCCGCTCCCACCGTCACCGTGTGCCGGCCCTTCCAGGCCCTCCCCTTGCCGTACCGTGGGCTCGTTGAATGTGGCCCACAACCGGATTCTGGATCCGAACCACTCGAAGCAGCGCTTGCTGTACTCCACAAACGCCGGTATGTTTTCCTCCCGGGTGAACCCCCCCGCGTCCTCGAACCACGTGGGATGTACGAAGTGCCACAGGGTTGCGTTGGGCTCCAGTCCGTGAGCCTCCATGCAGTCCAACATCTGGTGGTACCTGAGGGCAGGAAAGGGGGGTTGGAGGGTAAGGGGAGGGTAAGGGAGGGGAGGGAGGGTAAGGGAAAGGGGAGGGGGAGGGTAAGGGGAGGGGAGGGAAAGACGAACCACGAGCGAGTGAAGCTGCTGCCAAGGAAAGAGTGTACCAGAAGTAGAACTGACCAAAAGGCGTTCTGGTAAGGGGAGGGGGAGGTAAGGGGTGGGTAAGGGGAGGTTAAGGGGAGGTTAAGGGGAGGTTGAGGGGTGGGTAAGGGGAGGTTAAGGGGAGGGTAAGGGGAGGTTGAGGGGTGGGTAAGGGGAGGTTGAGGGGTGGGTAAGGGGAGGGTAAGGGGAGGGTAAGGGGAGGGTAAGGGGAGGGGGAGAGGATCTTCCGCGACCCGAAATCTCCCACGACCCGAAAACACATGATGGTAATGATAATAATGATGATGGTTACGACGACGACACAAGACGAGCGATCAGTTGCCGGCTGATGCCCAACGAAGGTAGGGAAGGGAAGGTAGGGTAAGGGCGAAAAAATACCCAACATGAAAAACCCTTCCCACCCACCCCCCACCCACCCCCACACACACGCGCGCAACCGCATCCAGCATCATCACCATCAGCACAACCATCACACCACGCAGGCCAGCGTCAGCACGTGCTGTTAAAAGCCCTACCACGCGCCTTCGTACGGCCTCCATGTCAATGACTCCGCGCTCGGGCTCGATGCGCGCCCACTCCAGGGAAAAGCGGAAGGAGGTGCACCCCAGGTCAGCAGCTAACTTGATGTCCTCCTCGTACCTGACAGATAACGCCAGAGAACACAGCCATAAGCACGGCCGCCAGGGCCAGGGATCGAGGCCGGCGGCCAGGGGTTGCGGGGATGTCGACATGAGACATTATCGACCCTGACAGGTCTTGATCCCGGGATCTCCCGGGGGCATTGATCGCGCGTTACCAGTAGTGCCTAACCCTAGTGATCTGTATGTATGTATGCATGTCACACTATCGTAGATTTGGCGCCTCCGCCGTTAGTCGGGGCAAACACATACACACGTACATACACACGTACATACACACGTACATACACACGTACATACACACGTACATACACACGTACATACACACGTACATACACACGTACATACATACGCACATACACACATGCATACACATACATACACACATACCCATATATACACACACGCGCATAAGCTGCTACACCAGATCTGCATCAAAATGCATTCACTCAGGCAAGGCGCGTGTGCCCCGTGGGGCTGAAGGCTAGGCTTGGGTGGCCCCAACAGTGCCCTTAATCCGGCTAGACTCGCAAGGCTTAGGAGCCCGTCTACACCGCGATCTGCGAGCTGATGGATGGGGGGAGACTTTGTACATTTCGTGCTCTTTTGCGCTATCGATGATGAAAGTGCACCTGTCCGCACCTCTACTAGCACCTGTCCGCACCTGTCCCAGAAGCCGTTGGCTTTCTCCATGCCAACGCCGCCGCGCACCGCCCGAACGCCGAAGTGCCGCAGCGGCCAGCGGCCCCTCGCGAAACGCGTCCAGTTGGATCCAAGATCGCCGGAGCATTGCCAGACGGAAATGCCGACGCCTTTGAGGAAGCGGTAGCGGAGGTCGTTTTGGGTGGTTGGCGCTGTAGCTGGAGGTGATGGAAGGTTGCTAGGGGGCCCGTTAAGTTCGTTCTGTGGCGTCCGGGTTTGCTCGCTGACGGTGCAGCTAGTTGGCCCGTTGGCAGTTGCGGTTGTAGGGCTGATTGGAGCGGCGGGAGGGGTGTCATTCATGTTGGTGTGCTGGCGGTTTGAAGCAAGACAGATTGTTGTTGGTTTCGATCGTGCGGATTCAGTTGGACTGTGAACTGAAAGGACGCCGGTTCCTCTGTGTAGCAGCGAAAGCAGCATTTGAGTGGTTTAGTTGAGGGCTTTGAAATTAAGGTCAGCGTGTAACAGCTTAGATGTCTAAAAGCTTTTTGAGAAGTAAAGCGACAAAGATTTACAATTGTCGGAATTGTATTCCTGGCCTGGTCTTCGAAGCTTCACGCAACTGCACTCTGGACAGCTGTCTTCCGTAGATAACGACCCCTGGGTCGAAACGATAATGGTCATCGGTCTAACTTTTCCTTGGCCTTGCCTTTATCGTGCACGAGAGGCCGTTGTCTCGATGTTCATACGTCCGAGAATTCCCACTGCAGCAGGTTACCCTCTGTTCGTATCGTTGTTTGTTTTCGTTATCGTTAAAAGCGTGTACTCTACGGTCCAGACGAGGCAAGAGGCTTACGAGCAGAAGGAAGAAGAAAAGTAAGAAAAAACAAAGAAAGCTGAAAGCAAACCAAAGCCGTAAGTCTTGCACATTACCGTGCTCGTGCACCATGGGAGAGGTGCATCACCTAAACGGGGTACATGACTCGGTTGTTTGCTCGGCAAGATACAACGCTACACCGTTGCCCACTGTTGCAGCTAAAATGCAGAAGATTTCTTCCATATGGAAGGAAGTGCCAGAGGAAAGCGCTGAAGCTACTTGCCAAGCAACTTGCCTCTCAGGGATAGTATTTGCACACTTTGAAGCAAGACGTTTGATTGCATGTTGCTCCGTTCCAACACGCGCAGCACCGCACCAGGTTCCTAAACTTGGACCGCTAGTGGGCGACTTGGATGTTTGCCGCTCTTGTAATACCGCGTCCTAAACCTGGACACCGTACTAGAGAATGGATTGCACGTGCGCCTCGAGAGCCCTTTAAACGGGAGGAGCCCATGGCGCAAAAACTTGTGGACTAAGGGGGAGAGCCACGAGGAAAAACATCTCCTCCGTGCACGGTTCAAACGCCGAGCCTGGATCTACCGGGCTCTCGCCTTGGGCAAGTCACCTCGAACCACAACGCCACGATAAGTACTGCTTAGGGGTTAGGCCAAGGCCACAGGCCCTGTACAGGTGCTTGCGGGCAAGCTTGTTGGCGTTGAAGTAACAACACTTCACATTCCGGCTATCATTAGACCACATATGCAAGAAGCGTCACACGATTCAAAGCTCATAGAGCGCAGCACCGCGGTGAGTTATCTTTCTAGGTTTAGATCTTCGACGCAGAACAAGCTATGCTGCAGCAGCGCTAACAGTTGATTATTGGGGACGTTTAGGATGAAAGATCTACTACATGATATCATTATGCTGCCATGATGTCTGTCTCGGAGTGTTCTGAAAGGCCTGAGGAGTTTTAAAATTGTACGAATTGCGCTGGAGCAGCGTAAGCCTGTTCTTGGCCCTTTCCCTTTCTGGCGAATATAACATCATCCCTATCGTCTACTTTAAGTGTTTGTCACTTAATGAACCTGCATGGTGCTGGAGCGGTCATGAACGGAGACACGAATGACTCCACAAATGAGCTGACTGAGAAGATTCGCTTCCTGAAAGGCACTGCGATAAGCGTATGGCAAAATTCGGGCGATGGAGGATCCAACTGGACCCGCTTTGCCAACAGCCTTTGGCCATTCCGCTATTTTGGCGTCAAAGCTATTCGGGGAAAGTACAATATTGACGCATGCAGCGATTTCTGGAACAAGTACGTTGCTTGCGCGGCGATGCGCGCTTAACACCCGAGCGTTACATCTTTAGACACGCATGGGCGGATCAAGCCAGGTTCACAGACAGACATGCATTGTATGACGTTACTTCTTTAGCCGTAAAAGTATCCGGGTTTCGTCTCTGGGTTTCGACAACTTTTTTGGTTCCAAAGTGTCAATCCTTGCGCGCACCACATCGCAACATCCCGATAGCAACGCGCACCTCAACACGCGCATCCGCTGCGGGCCTGCTACTTATCTTTTACTCGACACAACGGTATTGGGCGTGAGTTTGAGCTGCCGGGCGAAGCATGGCACATGCTGACAGCTGGTTGTTCTTCGCGCGGCACACATGGCTCACGCTATCCTTGCTTGCATTCTTTCGTAGCTATGAGCGAGACATTAAGCTGGCCGCTGACATTGGCAGCACAACGTTGCGCTTTTCCTTTGAATGGGCGCGTATCGAGCCGCAGCGCGGAGTCATCGACATGGAGGCCGTACGAAGGTGCGGGGGGCCGGGATTGGATTGAGTGGGATCCGGCGGAGTGTCGGAGGTTCCGACCCAGGAAGCCCCCTCCTCTCCCCCACCCCCTGTGTATATCTGTCGCAGCACTCTTTCCTTGGCAGCAGCTTCACTCGCTCGTGGTTCGTCTTTCCCTCCCCCTCCCCCTCCCCTTTCCCTTACCCTCCCTTACCCTCCCCTTACCCTTACCCTCCAACCCCCCTTTCCCGCCCTCAGGTACCACCAGATGTTGGACTGCATGGAGGCTCACGGACTGGAGCCCAACGCAACCCTGTGGCACTTCGTACATCCCACGTGGTTCGAGGACGCGGGGGGGTTCACCCGGGAGGAAAACATACCGGCGTTTGTGGAGTACAGCAAGCGCTGCTTCGAGTGGTTCGGATCCAGAATCCGGTTGTGGGCCACATTCAACGAGCCCACGGTACGGCAAGGGGAGGGCTTGGGAGGGGATTTTCCGGGGCTGAAGAGTTACAGTTTTGTTGGGTTGATGCAGGCTGTGGGCGTGACAGGGCGTGACAGTGGGCAGATGGCACGTTATGTAAGGAGAGGCGGCCCTCCCTCGGGACTCCCCGAACGGGATCTTGCTCCTGGCATTTCACGGAACAGGTAACGGTACGGCAGCTACCGGCGCCGGAAAGTAAATCATGATGGAGCAACCAGACTCATTTCCACAGCCTAATTTTTATAGCCTGATCTATACAACGTAGTTTATACAGCCTAACAGCCTGAAGGATCAGCCTTATTTATACAGCCTGAAGGAAAGCAGCCAGTTACGCTTCCTCCCCCCTCTTCCTGCCATATGCGGCTTCCCGTCGTCATGCCATGTCGCATTAAGGTGAAAGGAAAGTCTCAGCTCTGCAAATAAAATTTTCCTCGCCATGCCACGCCACGCCACGCCAAGTCATGGCCCTCCTTTTCGCGCTGCTCCTTCGCCGCTCCGCTCTCGCTTCCGGCACACCATCCACGAACACCATTCATGGCAATGATGCACCTTACCGTGAGTTTGTCGTTAAAAATGACACGCACTGCCCCACCGTGCAGTGCTACATGTTCCTGGGCTTCATTGTGGGCATTGCACCCCCGGGCCGCATCTTCGACCTGGCTGGTGCGGGTCGCATGCTGAGCACCATGCTGAAGGCGCACGTGGAGGCGTACCGGGCCATCAAGGCGATGCCGGGCGGGGATAAGGCCCAAGTTGGACTCGTGAGCCACCACATTACCTTCGAGGCGGAAGCGGACGGCATCTTACACGGTGTCGCCAAGTAAGCTCCAGGGGTGGAGGGGAGATACAGAAATGGAAGGGTGTGGAGGTTTTGTGAAGGGGGAGGGCCGGGAGTTTCAGACCTTCTTTACCATGACGAATTGAAATCCAAGGGTAAAGCAGCTGTTGATGTAATAGGCGGTAGGTTCGGGAAATCAACCTACGCCGCGCCGCGCGCGCTGCAGGATGCTGTCCGATTGGATGACGTATTGGTGGGGCTGGGACGTCGTGGAGCATTGGATGCTGACGGGCGAGTTCGTGTGGAAGCTTCCGGTGCTGGGTGTGTGGCAGCAATGGAAGGATCCAGCCGGCAAGCCACCGTGCGACTGGTGGGGCATCAACTACTATTCACGCGGCATTTTCTCCTGGTACTTGCTACCGAGCTGCCGACATCAAGAAGTCATGACGGACATGTACTACCCCATCTACCCCGAGGGAATGTACCGCGCGATTAAGAGGTACGGATGTACGGCACTTGTACGGCGGTGTCTGTAGCACATATAGGGCGTCAATCGAAAGTGCACATCTACCCGCGTTTGAGGATATATCCGTGGCTAGTTATCCTATGGGCGTACTCGTGACAAAGTGGATTTGGACATTTGTGGCATTGTAAATTTAAAAGGATTGTGCTTGCAGAGAGATGGAAGAGAGGGAAAAGTTTATTTTTTGTCATGATGGGTACTATGTTGTCGCGCGGGCTAGAACTGGCGACCTATTCAGTCTGGGTTCATCGTCGGTGGGAGCCGTGCAGGAGAGCGCGTTGTTGTTATCACTACGCAACTTAAACATTCCTTCCCTGCGAGTTACTTTTTGCAAAACGGGGAGCTCTAATAAAATCCACCCCTTTAGTGACGACTTAGTCTCCAACCACCTGTGCCCCGTGTGGCGCCGCACCTACCCCTACCCCTATCCATGTCCCACACTCTCCGCAGATGCTCCGAATTCGGTATCCCAATGTACATCACGGAAACCGGAATTGCGGATTCCAGGGATGATCGGCGTGCGATTATGATCGACGCGTACTTCAAGGAGGTAGGTGACGGTGGAGAGCTTCAATAATATAACTAATAATAATATTTTTGGCTGAGTGTTGAACGAATGCCGCGGCTGTCTGCTGTTTGGCCCCAGGTCATGCGCGCTGTGGCCGAGGGCTACGACGTCCGTGGTTTCTACTACTGGTGAGGTTTTGTATATAGGTATTGGCAGAAGCTGCAGCAGCAGGGGTGCCATGTTCGCCTGTCCATATTGTTAGACTGTTGGATTCGCGGTTGGGCCGGATTGGGCCCCCGCTCCATACACGGTTCTCCGATCTACATTCTCCACCCTCCTTCATGACACCCTGTTGCAGTATACCTCTCAAGCTTTCCATTGAAGCTTTCCCGAGCTTTCCATTGCGCATTGACCATTGAAAAACGCCATACCCCCCACGCAAAAGTTCTTTGTGCTGTGCTTGGGCATTTCCGGCGTTGTATGGTTAATTTCTACATGTCGCACCTTGTCACGGCTTGCCCTTTCGCAGGATACAGCGGGTATTGGCACTGTGCTAATAGCCCCGTTCAACTCCCCAGCCCCACCTTCCCTGGAGGGTTATTCCCCCCAACCTAACCCGTTTCCCTCTCACAACGGCCTTCATGACAGGACGCTGATCGACAATCTAGAATGGGCCACGGGCTACACGATGAAGTTCGGGTTGTACTCGTGGGAGCCGGATGGAAGTGTGGACCGCAAACTCAAGGTGGAGGGGGGGGCGCGAGGGCGGTTCGGGAGCATGGGAGGGTTCGGTTCGGTACGGTCAGCATTTCTAACATACAGGTTTTTGCAATGTTGCAAAAAGAGGACGGTGAGATGTACGCTGAGGTGTATGTGTTCGCGACCCATGCTTGCAGATTTCTAAATAATAGCATTTAGTTGGCTGCGGAAAGTATTAATTGATTACCGAGACTCATGTTTGCTCCTCATGCTGGTCGATGGGTTTGTCTGGTCAATGCAGGAGGGCAGCAAGACGCTTATACGGTACTTCCGTACACTGCCGGATGACCTGGCAGGCGTGCGCGAGGCGGCCCAGAAGGCGCAGGCAGTGCTGGGAGCCGACATGGGCGTGGAAGAAGAACTAGAGGAGGAGGGCTTTGTGCGGATGGGTCCGGACGGGAAGATGATGCCGGGCGGCAAGGGCAGGGGCGACAGGGGCGAGGTGGAGATGGGCAAGGGTGTGGGTTTATTGGCCATTGGCTGAGGCTGGATGTCATGCCAATCGAGTGACCTAACGGGCCAGACGATTGGGTAAATACATATCTACCCTGGCAAGGGTAGAATCTTAGGAGTTGGGAGTGGAGTAGTCGCTGCGCCACCGCAATTTAGAGGCACCCGATATTCCCTTTCTTGTCCTTGTTCGCCGGAACGGGAAAGGGAAAAAGTGGACGGGATGTGATATCGGTGGCTTCGCAGGGGGACATCTGGGAGCTGCGGTTGGGGGTTTTAATCGGAAATATCACTGTCTTACACTGCGGTGTAAGCCGAAGCCTTGGATGGGCTTTTGAGTCGCGCAGACGCGAACTGAGGTGCCGTGAGGTGTGACGGCTGCGTGCGAGTTTTAGGAAGGAGGCGCTGCATGGCATTATGGAGTAGTATGAAGCCGCTAAGTTGGTTGAGGCAATATGGGGTCATCCGTTTTGCTCAAAGGGTATATAACTTGCGTCACACGCTTGGGGTTTTGCTCGGGCGCTGCGAGGAGAGAAGGGATTATGGGAGGAACTAGGTGTGAATATCTCATCAGAAGATAATTGACAGGGGACGCTCGGGGCCCTGAGCAAGACTGCTCATGTGACTGCGCAGGTGGGCTGTGGTATGAGAACTGCGGATTAGGTGTTAAGGCGGATAGCTGTTTTACTGGAAACCATGATCGACGAAGTGCGCATATGAGAAACTATCTCAAACCAAGGCCGTTGCGAAGCTCGGTATACGATTACATCGCTTTAAGCCGCTGTGTTCTAATCACAATTCCTTAATTACCGCGGAGACGCAACCGTCATCCAACCGCCATAAGAACTGAGGGAATAGTTTGTTTATTAGTTATTCCCCCTAAATTGCCAGCAAGTCGGCTACCCTGCAAGCTGCCCTGTCACTTGAAAACGAATATGTGCACAGCACAAAAATAATGCTAGGAATCTCATGTCACAAGCCTGCTCGGTACAAGGGTACGTGGTAGGTAGTGAAGGATACTATACATGGTTCCTGTTGAGATGCAATGGTGACACCAAGTCCCTTTCTCCAAAGTCAGGGCGCGGCGTTACGACGGCGCGGTTGGCAGGTGACCGGGCCTGCAGTTCGTAACCTGCGAAACTCAACACCAATTGCTAAATAATAAACCCGTAATCCAAATCACTCACGGAAAGAATTCACTACAAACGTAACGCAAGAATCAAGAGTTGAGAAAGGGAAAGGCGCTCAGACTGTTTGCTTGCTCTTGCAACCGCCGCTGCCGCCGCCTCCACCGCAGCCGCATCCACCACCACTGCTGCCGCGGTGCTGATGTGCCATCACCTGCATAGGTAGGCCCTCCTGGGTCCAGGCCACCATGCCTCCTTTCACATTGGTAACGTTGCTGAATCCGAACACCTTGGTCAGCCGTACAGTCGCTTGCCCGGAGCGCATGCCCGAACCGCAAACCACTGCCACCGACCGGTCCTTGAACTCGTCCAATGAGCCGCTGCGCGCTGCTGAAGAGAGATCCGGATCCAGAGGAAGGTTGAATGCTCCAGCTATGTGCCCGCTGTCGTACTCGTGCCGCGAGCGCACATCCAGCAGCAGCGAAAACTGGCCCGTGGCGAGGCGCTCCTCCAGCTCCACCACGGATATCTCCTGCGGTAAGTACGACCATTGCAGTAAAAGTACAACAACGAAAATGCTGGGTGTAGTTGCGCAACGAAAAGCGGTGGGCACTCGACAATAACCTCGCATTGTACAGTTGCTGTTTCCTGTTGCCAAACAGCTGCAAAGTGATCGCGCATGGCAGTGGCGAAATGGACGGAAAATGCAGCAGACAGGAAGGAAAGAATGAAAGAGCACGAGAAAGGGAACAGGGCATGGCCATGTGGCGTAGCTGATGGGGTGGCCCCAACTTTGAATCGCACGCCACGACGGCAGTTTACGTGTTGGCTTCCCAAAGGCGGCAGAAGCGGCCATGGCTCATCAGCGTCGCCTTTAGAATTATGGGTTGCATTCTCCTATGCAGTCCCATATGCAGTCTCTTATCCCCACAAACGACAGCCGCTAGTAGCGGTTTTTACCAGTAACGAGCTTTGTTGGTTCAAAATTTGCTAGCGGGGTTTTGGAAATCCGTGCCACTGCGGCTAACCCACATCACCGAACTTCGTTCTTTCACGGCTCTTCTTCACGCCACACGCACCTGAAACCCAGCCTCCGGCGAGTAGGCGCTGGTAGGGCTCGTTGTGTCCTCGACAAGCTCGGGCATAACGGCGGCGAGGGCGTTGTACGCGCCAGTAGGCCCCCGCAGTCGTTCAGGGTCATCCGACTCGGAACCGTCGCGGTAATCTATCCAAGACTGCGTTAAAATCCGAGGATGGGCGTACGAGACGTAACAGGTCAGACAGTTTTCCAGGCAAACAGTCTCTGGCTTTGAGTCGTGGGCGCCTTCAGATCAGCGAGTTGCATCGGCATGCCGAGGGATAAGCATAGTGCATTTCTGCAGCTGGAAGGTAGGCACGTCGATCACCGAACGTATGATACGGTACCGGTATTGGTCACGGACGACACCGCTTCCTGTACAACTGCAACTCTTGGGCACCTGGTATTAAGGTTTTTTAAAGCTTCGTTCCCATCCTTGCTTGGCATCATGGCTCGGCACGTACCGGTTGGTGCTCTAGTCCTTGATATCCGCTGGAGGAATCCTCCCAGGCACCAAGCTGAGGCAACTCTGCTTGGACGGCACCATCTTCGTCATCACTATCCTCCCAGATTAGAAGATGGTTACCGGTAAGCGGGTTGTATTCGCTCAGGATTGCGTGGACATCCAAAAAGCGTTCTTCGCTTTCTCGCTCCTCGCTTGTTGGTCCTAACACCTTAGCAACGCAAGCGGGGCCAATTGAATCCTGGCGTAATCCCAGACAATCTCTGTGGTGCACATTTGCCATGGCGTGGGTTGTCCATTGTGACCTCTCCGGAACAACAATTGCCCGACGGGGGCGTGCGACAGCTAGCCGTCCCACAACAAAAGATCCAGAAGAGTGTAACACGTAGGCTGCCATTGGTTCCGAAGGCGGAGGTTAGAGCAACAAAATCCTGAGTCAATCTTGGAGCTGTTAAAGCGATCAATGGTACGGTTGTAAGGCCCTCAGAAGAAGGAAATGACCACAGCCAGTAGATCTCCTATTGTTGCTTCTAAAAAAACTATAAGCTATTTAGGATTTTTGTGGATGCCAGCGGTTGTCAGTCATGTTATAATCCGAGCCACCAATTTACCGCAGTGAAGAGAGGTACGCCTGTAAACGCTGTCTGAATCGTTGCTATTTCCTAGTAATTTGACCCACCCAGCCGGTATACGTCGTCATTGGCGGCACATTGGCGGACGCTCCAGAACCTGTCGTGACCTAGAAGTTGAGTCGTCATGGCTGCTTGTCGGCATGCGTGCAGTCGTGCATTAAAGTCTAGTTGATTGTTGTGTTCGCTCGCTACGTTTTACTGAGTAAGCTTTTCAGTCCAAGAAGTGTCCCGGTGAAGAAAGGTTGTAAGCAGTAAGGAACTCAGATCGTGAAAGAATGCGTCAGCTAAAATATCATGAGCAAAAACTCCTGAAGAAGGTGGACTTTCTACGATGGAAGAGCGACGACAATGTCCGCGAGCTCCAGGTGTGTGCTTCGGACAGTCGTCGTCTACAAGTTGGCGACAACTCATGATTTGAGAAATCGTTGCTTTGCCTTGCTCTATGGTTTGCCGCCGCCGGCAGGTCTTGCGGCGATACCACATTCAAGACCGCGACGACTACAAGAAGTACAATAAAATATGCGGCATGATTACAAAGCTTACCAGCATGCTAAAGCGGCTAGACCCCAAAGACGCGACGAGGATAGAGTTGACTGACCAGCTTTTGGAAAAGTGAGTCGAGCTGCAGGCGTGGGCCCATGTCGTGTTCCGGCCACCCACCCTCGCCCTCCTCCCACCTTATCCCCCATTCACGTGTAGTAACTAGCACAGCTTCAGCAGCAGTTCTTGATCGCGCTATAACCCTGTTCACAGGCTCTACAACATGGGTGTCCTCCCCACGAAGAAGAGCTTGGTCCAGTGCGATAAACTGGCCACGGCCGCGTTCTGCCGGCGGCGGCTGGCGGTGGTCATGGTCCGACTCAAGATGTCGGAAACGCTGCGAGAGGCTGCCACCTTCATCGAGCAGGTGGGAGCAGAAGGGAGGAGGGAGGGACGCTGGTGGCCTTGCAGGCTGTACAGGAAGTCAGGTGGAACGAAAACGGATTCAGATCCCAACGTGACTATCCACTGCATGTACCCTACAGGGGCCTCGATCACTGCGGGCCTCGATGATCTCGACCCAGATCAATAATAACGCAGCATATGCTTATTTCACGCTTTTATACTTCTCCTGCGTAAACCCTCCTGCGTAGACTCAGCACAGCGTGTCGTCTTCATCACATCATCTTGCACAATGACATACCGACTCGATTTCCGCGCGATTCGGCGCCGTTCCGAACACCGCGTGTCTACCGTGGTCGTGCATAAATAAGAGAATTTTCCCAGCCAGAGAAAATCTTGTTCATTCGTCCTCAGAAGGTCATTCGTCCTCAGAGGTCATGTCTCGGGCCCCTAGCTTAATTATATTGAGCAACCAATAAAATCCGAGGCCTTTTTTGGCCTTGCGTCTTTTGGCCTTGCTGTCGCGAGTCATCGCAGCTGGCTGCACCCATATTCGTACAATTATCCACCGGAACCCCCCCGTCCACGCGATTCCAACAACCCTCCCACTACACCTTGGCGTGGGTTCCTCCCTCGCATCCTTCCCCTTCCCCACCCCTCTGCCGGCCGTGCAGGGTCACGTGCGTGTGGGTCCTGACACCGTGACCGACCCCGCCTTCCACGTGACACGCAACATGGAGGACTTCGTGACCTGGGTGGACACGTCCAAGGTGAAGCGGAAGGTCCTCAAGTACAACGACAAGCTGGACGACTACGACTTGCTCATGTAGTGTGCGTGTGTGCGTGCGTGTAGACGGCAGCTGTGGATGTGTGCGTGGGCTGGTGTACTTCAGGCTGGTGTTGATGCGCGCGAGTTGTCTACAGTTGCATGTGGCCAGGACGGTAGGTAGAACTCCAGATGCGTTGGACTGGTGGGGTGTGGACAGGCAGCGCAACGCTACGTCTGATCTGAGGCATCAACTAGGTGGCCGTCGTTGGTTTGCGGCGCATCTGCATCTGCATCGTGTATTGTTGTGGCTACCGGAATGGCGATGTGGGTTTTGTGTCGCGTCCTCCTCCATTCAGGACTCAAGCGGAACAGGAGGATAGGAGGATAAAGAGAGAGGCCCTTTGACTGCGGCTTGACTGGGGCTTTGTGTTGGGCCGGCTTTGGAGCTCGTGTGTGTGTGTGTATGTGCACATGTGAGTGAGGACAAGTCCCTCCCTTTCCTCTCGTCCTGGTAGTAGATATGCGGCTTGTTGACCTGTCTGCTCTGGGCTTGACGGCCATGGACGGCCTGCTCTCTTCGCATACCTTAATGCGCCCATTCATGCCCGGGGTGAGGGAAGGTTAGTTTGGATTTTGGAGCGACTTTGGAGCACGCGGCGGAAGCGGCAGGTGGTGAGTGTTTTGACTTTAGGGGGTGCAGGGGGAGCGACCGGCGGGAAGGATGCAGCGTTGTAGGTACGCAGCGGGGGAGAGAAAGGGGAGGGTCTTTACCGGCAAGTTGTTTTTAGAGATATTTTACAGACAGGTGGAAGCACAGACTTGTGAGTATTGCGCTGCCTCTTTTTCCGCACAGATTTATATGAATTAATTCCCTCGGTGCATCGATAGAGAATTCGACACGAGTTAAATGGTCATGTTGGTTAGAAACGGAGCTTTAACATAAAATGATGTTAAATGACTTGTGCGCTCACTGAACTGAATAAGCGCCACATGTTTTATCCTGGAAGGCCAGCTTGAACACACCCACCAGCGCCACCGCAGTCCGTCCGTCTGTCTGTCTGTGCATCGGCACTTTTTTAAAATGTAAATCTAGCAGTGTGCTGCAAGTGGCCCGCGGAATTTACCGGCGGACCTTCGTTACGTACGCACGCGCGACGGTCCCGTACCGCTTTTTGATAACTCGGGTACACGTTCGTACACATGCATGTGTCCCAATAGCGGGGACTGGCCTTCATACAGTAGCAGATAGCTCTTCACACAGTCGTGGTAGAACTATTCAATTGCCCTTCCACACCCGCTTTTGTGCTGTTGTACTGTGTTGGAATGTGGTTCAAGCCAAACAGAAAATTCTCGGTAGAACCGTAGGGAAGTGTGGGTTATTCACTGCTAACAAGCAAAACATCGCCTACGGGAAATTAAAGGCAGCGCACGTATGCCGCACGTATTCTACGATACCGGGCAGCTGTATACCCCATGGCTTACGATTGCGGACCTTTTCTCGTCGTTACTTACACACATACAGATCAGGTCCATTGGCATGGTCGCCATTGGCATGGCCAGGGCTTTCCAAATTTGTGGTGTGTGAGATGCAACAATGCCAGGGAGAAAAACAAACCGTCGTGATTGGAGCCTGCTGATGATTCCAGTATATATATGCATATGCCAGGTCTTCGGAGGCGAAAATACGGCACATGCAGCCACAAGGAGCTTGCCGCCAAAAGCGAGGGTAAACGCCATCAAACATTTATGGAAAGGTCATATCACCCGTTTTACTAAAAACCGAAGTCGATGGGAAGGAGCGAAGGAGAGGACTCCTTGGCCCCGTCTGTGTACGAGACAGGAAATTAATTGCTTTTCGACTTTCCCGCAAAGTCCCAACAGGTCATAGAAACTACCAATCGGCACAACGGTTATAACCCCTTAGATTTGACATCCAGCCCGCCGTACTGATTGTCGTAGGTACGGCAATCGTGGGTTAGCATTCGCCGTCCGTGCGCATTAGGCCCATAAAACTAGGCGAACCGAAGATTCTGTAACTCGTATAAAGGACGTTAGCCAGGGTTCCTGCAGTATAACAGTCCTTCACTTTCCACTTCATCCCACCGCACACTGTCCTTCAACTCATGAATGCAAACAGACATATTACCGTCCCTCGCGCATGACCCCATAAAACCCCCAGTATTACTTCCCCCAAGCAAAACAAAACACTCTCTTCACAAGGCGACACATTATCATGCAACTTGGCTATTTAACACACACACACACACACCAGATAGCTTCTACGCCCCGCAGACGCCGCATGCCCGTGCGAATGCTACATCATCATCATCATCGTCACCATAATAGTAATAACAGCTCCTCTGACCGAGTTCGGCAATAATCTCACTCATCCTTCTGTGAAATGTCATCAGGCATACCACGATCAGAGGCCTTCATGGCACGAACCATCATCTGTACTACATGCGCCACATGCGATAATCTGTATGTGGAGGCATGCAAAATATCCCCTCGCGTCCCATATCGCACTCCATCTACTCCATCCCAAAATATCTGTCCACTCCTGTTACGACTTTCACTCCTCGCACACAGGGCCGCAGCAGCCGGCACAGTTCCAAGCTCCTTTAACAGAATACACAAGCACCGCCGCCTATATGCATACTCGACCACATCCGCACACAATTAAACTGCCTGCCTGCCTGTTTGTCTGTCTCCCACCTTGTCAGAATGCTTCCTTCAGGATGCTTCGTTCCAGCCCACCACACACAAACCGCTCAAACGGCTGATCGCCAGTTCGATTCCAGGCCATGACAAAATGTGGTCACATTATGTCAGGAGCATCATACTCAACACCAACTCAACGCGCCCTCTCCACTCTCATGCATTGTCTATCTGTCTGTCTGTCTGTACCAATAAGGTGGTCTTCAACCCGAGACGAGCAGCCTGGTTCTATGCAATTCAGTTCCGTACAATCCGCTCAATTCGGTCCAGTTCCGTACGATCCCGCTCGGTCCGCCAGTAAGAATTTCGATCGTCTATAGACCATGCGCACTGCCGTGGTATATTAGGTGGGGGCCGTCCCTTCCTAAGCATACCAGGGTGCGCCCTATAGACAGTCAAAAATGTTTTTACAGACGTCCTTAGTCCGTTTGCCGCATGACACAACTGCCATGCACATGCACATACACACGTAAGCACGGCAGTGCAAACAGGTCCGCAACTCTTTCTCCCCCCTTCGTGTAAACTCGTGTCCACCTCATACAAAGCAACGCATGCATACACAACTTGGGAGCGTTTCTTCCTTCCTCCCCATCTTCTTACCTTTCGCAACCTCCCTTGATCTATCGATCGAGTTCTGCACACACAGGCACACAGAGAGACATACAGAGACACAAACACAGACACACACGCATACACACAGAGGATTGCGCGCCCTCGGTCGAGCAGGAGGGGACTGTGGCCCCTCACGCCCTCTCCTCCCGCTAAGGAGAGAGTGCAGAGACGCAAGCACACACACACATGGGGTCCGTGTATATGCGGTAAACAGGTGCCTCTGCCCCCAGGTGCACTTCCATCACCATCACCACCGGCCGGAAACCTCATCTGAGAGGTTCCTTCGGTGAACAGAGCACAGGGGGTCATCCAGGGAGGCTCCCGTTCGCATTTATAACTTTAATAACCACCTCAACCTCCTACAACCACCTCAACCTCCTACAACCACCTCAACCTCCTACAACCACCTCAACCTCCTACACCCACCTGGTACGCTAAAGATTACAAAGGGCGAACAAAGGGCGAATGTCGGTGTTCCGGCCCCTCGTCCTCCTCAAAGGCGAGCTGCTTGCCGGCAGCCACGGCGATGGCGTCCCGAATGGCAATGGCCCACTCGCAACACTCCTCAACGCTGCTCGCCTGAATGAAAGAGAGCAAGAGGAGCAGCAGCAACAGCAGGAGGAGCCAGGACGGAGCCGTTGCGCTCGACAGACAGCACCAGCCGTAGCAGTAGCAGTAGCAGTAGCAGCAGTGACATGGTGGGCGAAGCAAAACAGCCATTTCGTCGTCAATCGGCTGCAGAAGACGTCACGTGGGTGAGCGCTACCGTGGGTCAACGGCTCCGGGGCACCTGGCGCCCACAACCCTCACTAAAAAGGCAGTCATCGGCCACTGCTACTCACAACAGCAGCAGAAGTAAAAAGAAGAAGAAGGAGGAGAAGGAGCAGCAGCTGCAGAAGAAGGAGGAGAAGGAGAAGAAGGAGGAGACGGAAAAAGCCGACACCAAGAGATTCAGCAGCCACGCGCCACGAGACGAGAGCGCGGCGGGCCGGCATGTCCCCAGGCCAGTGCCCCCCTTTCCCCCTTACTCACTCGCTCGCTCATCACCCACTCGTTCATCACTCACTCACTCGCTCACTCACTCGCTCACCCACTCGCTCACTCACCCGCTCGCTCGCTTGCTCACTCACCCGCTCACTCACCCGCTCACTCGCTTGCTCACTCGCTCACTCACTCGCTTGCTCACTCGCTCACTCACTCGCTTGCTCACTCGCTCACTCACTCGCTTGCTCACTCGCTCACTCACTCGCTTGCTCACTCGCTCACTCACTCGCTTGCTCACTCGCTCACTCACTCGCTTGCTCACTCACCCGCTCACCCACTCGTTCATCACTCACTCACTCGCTCACTCACTCGCTCACTCGCTTGCTCACTCACCCGCTCACTCGCTTGCTCACTCACCCGCTCACTCGCTTGCTCACTCGCGCACTCACTCGCTTGCTCACTCGCTCACTCACTCGCTTGCTCACTCACCCGCTCACCCACTCGTTCATCACTCACTCACTCGCTCACTCACTCGCTCACTCGCTTGCTCACTCACCCGCTCACTCGCTTGCTCACTCACCCGCTCACTCGCTTGCTCACTCGCTCACCCACTCGCTTACTCACTCGCTCACTCACTCACTCACTCGCTCACTCACTCACTCGCTCACTCACTCGCTCAATCACTCGCTCACCTGGAAGGACAGTCTCCGCCCCCGTATTCCCCCGAGCCAGCTGGATCCCTTGGGCATCTCCAAAATATTGAAGCGGGGGGCCTGGGGGCAGCACAGCCGGGTTAGGTAGGCGGGTAGGTGGGTAGGTAGGTGGATGGGTATAGGCGGGTGGGTAGATACGGGTGGGTAAATACGG